CTTAGAAATGGTGTTGATCTGGATCAAACCTTCAGTATGTGTTTTTCTAAAAGAAGGATTGGAATTTCTTTGATTCAAATAATCAGGATTAACCTGATTCTCGCAACAAAAAAAAAATGGTGATTCAGGTTGGATTTTGGGAACAGCATGAAGTGAAACCTTTTTGGTCAAGCAATTCAACGTGAATCATAAAGTGTATAATGCATACATTTATTTTATTATCACTGCCGAGGCGTTTCATTGATCGCTGCACGTTAGAAAATAACCCAAAAGCCGACCAGGGGAACTGTACAGGTCAATGTTTTACAATCAGGTCCAGGTCTTTGGACAGGATCCCGTTCTAAGATTGGGGTCATGAAGGTGTGTATCAAATTACTGCAATTATTTGCATCCCAAGTGGAAACATCTAGTGTTGAAAAAGAAGCTGTCATGTAAATGCAAAAAGCTGCGGCTGCTTGAGTCTCTGCTGCAAAAGCCAAGGACTTCCCATTAAGTCTCAAATTCAAATGACAATCTTTACAGCTGAAATAAACTCATTCATAAAACATATTATTCTGAAAAGCTGATTTCTATATTTGGTACACATTGTAATCACATTATTCGATTACATTAGCACGATTAGGGGCTGATTTTTGACAGGTAAACACGTTGTTTAGCTGTTTACCAGGAGGCTTAAGGTCTGTCTCAGCTCCACCTCTTTACCTGTTTCTAGATCCAAAGTTAGGTTGAAGTAGCTTTTCTGATTGATTCCAAGTATGACCTTGCTGTCTGTTTAACATGTGTCACCCTGGAAGGTCACATCCATTTCTTCAACCATGAGCCCAGAAATCTCCACAGCCGCGCACAGTTCTAGTCTTAATGATGATGATAATAATAATGATGATAATGATGCATTTTATTTATGGGCACCTTTTACGAGACGGGGGGCAGCACGGCTAAAGGCTCGAGACCCCATTGATGATAGGATGATAGTCGTGGGATGGTTATGTCCGCCTAAGGAGCTATCGTTCCTTGTCAAACACCAAACCCACTTCACTTTGTCCAAATCCAGAGCACTCAGGAGCAGAATCTAAAGTCAGAAGGAGGACATACTGGCTGCTGCATTGTTGTCCTAGAACCCGCACTTCAACATAGTATGTTTCCTTAATGTCTGATCATATCGTAAGGTATCATTTCATTCAGTAGATATCTTATATTTTGTTCCTTTTTAATATGGGACCTAATGGGGAATGTTTGCCTTTGCAGCAAGCCTGAAGTGAACACTCGGTGAACTGCATTTTATCTGCACTAGCTCATTGGCTTGGTTTTTTAATTCTAGGGGTTGCCGCTTGGATATGATGTATAACTTCTTCCCCCGGAAAAGCCCAAATGAATGTTTCTCATTTGCTGCTTTTACATTTATCCAACAGGTGACAATGTGCCAAAGGTGCTTGTGTTCACCACAGAAGGTGACTTCCTCATGGCGTGGAACACAACCACACTGGAGATGCCTCATGGGATATTTCTAGCAGATGCTGCCTCGTCAAACCCCACTGTGTGGATAACCGATGTGGGAAACGGCCCCAACGGTCACTGCATCAAACAGTACTCGCCATCTGGGAACCTCCTCCAGGTGACTGCCTTATCCAGGATAAGATCTTTTTTACTAGCATCATTGTTTTTAACTGGTGTTCGTACTATTATGGATTTAGTTTGACTTATAGAATAAGAAAAGCCTGTAGCGGCTATTTATTTTTTGATAAAAACATAAAAATCCCAACAAATTAAAGAACAAACAGGTATTAAGAATCTTTTTAGGCCTTTATCTAGAGATAGGACAGTGGATAGAGTCAGAAATCAGGGAGAGAGAGAGAGTGGGGAATGACGTGCTTGAAAAGGGCAACAGGTTCAAACCCCTTGCTTCCGTACAAGGGGATGCACGCACTAACCACTAGGCTACTGCCACCCCAATACCGGCCAATTTCTTGGTTTTAAAAAACCACAAATTGAAGGCAGACTCCTGCACACTGTTGAAAAATTGCAAGAATATGTTTGTAACTTTTGGAACCAAAATATTACCAATATATTTTTGCAATTTAGACGGTGTGTCACCTCTATTGGTCTGTTTGTTGGACCACTGCTGCTCTCTCTTCTTGTTGCAGCAGCAGCAGCAGCAGCTTTGGGTTCAGAGATTTAGTTTTTTTTTATACAGATTGTATCCTTTGAAACACATGATATCGGAGAGTATCAAACCTTTTTTGACAACCTTATTACAAAACAACAGATGGGTCAAACAAAGCCAACAGTTCCTGGGTGTTGTTGTTTTTTCTTGTACTTGTCAGGTGCTTGGTACACCAGGGAAGGCAGGTACCGGGATGAACCCTCTGCAGTTTGATCAGCCGGCTGAGATCTTCGTACACGATTCTGGAGAGATGTATATCGTCGATGGTGACGGCGGCTTGAACAACCGCCTCATCAAGCTGTCCAAAGATCAGGAAGTGCTGTGGCTGCATGGGGAGAAAGGGCAAAACCCGGCTCAGTTTTACATCCCCCACAGCGTGACTGTAGACAGTGCTCAGAGGGTGTGGGTGGCCGACCGGGGGAACAAGAGGATCCAAGTCTTTAACTCCATCACGGGTGATTGGCTGGGGACGTGGGGAAGCTGTTTCACCGAGGACGCCCCCTACTCTGTCCGCCTGACCCCAGACAAGAAGTACTTTGTGGTTGTGCAGCTCAACACCAACCAGATTTCACTGCTGGACGCCCCACCGGTGGGTCTGATTGGTCAGTGCAGGGTGGTGAGTGTGATCCAGCTGGCTGATGAAGTGAAGCCACACCTGGTGGACCTAGACCTGAAGACAGGCGCCCTGTTTGTGGCTGAGATTGGAGCTCAACAGGCCCAGAAGTTCACCCCCTTTGTTCTGGGTGCAAGTTTAATCTAGACTTACACTGAGCTCTGTCTAAAGAATAGAAATGGAAAGATTGATCACAAATTTACAGTTTTATCATACATTTGCCTATTGATCAAATTTTGGGCCATAAATGTCCATATTTGCATTAAGTTATGTTTGTACTGAAAATAGTTTCAAGAATGGCTACACCAATGCAATTCTATTTAGGTTACAGTTAGGTACTTAGGTACTTTTCAATTCCGATGTGTTTTAAAACAATGAAATCTCAATTATTTAAAATAGCGTTGGTATTGAAAAGTATCAAAGCTTTGAAAAATAAAAAAATAAAAACAGCAGGCCATCATTCATGAGAGATCCAGTCAATACTTCTATCTCATCTCATCTCATCATGATGAAAAGGTTGAATGAATGTGTCTTACAAACAGAAGAGTTGGCACTATAAATTACAAAAACATCGCCAATGTGCGATTTGGAAAGTGTGCAGGAGTTTTCTTTCAAAGTTTTCTTGAACAAAAACAAGAAATGACCAAATATTGGATGCTTAAGACTTCTAGTTTTGTTGTTGTCGTATCAAATGAGTATCAGTATCGTTTGATCCGCTAGCATGCGTCAAAGTTTACATTTGTGGTATATTAACAACCCCATCAGGAACGAGCAGCAGGTATTTCATCAAATATGTTTTAAATGCCATGACAAGACCTTTCCTGTCATTTGTCTCTACATGTATTAATTGAATAATAGAGTTTAGCTGAAGTTAGCTAAATCTGAAAAGCTATAGGTTTTTAGATCAGCAGAACTTGTAGCTCAAAGTAGGCACAACCTGCATCCACCCAAATGTTCTACACCCTCCTAATCCTAGTTTGGCGTTACATGAAGCTAACCCAGTTCCTGACACGTGCACACTTCGATCTCAAAGGAGATTTCAGCAAGAAAGTGCAGTCTTTGCTGTTTTCAAATAATGAATATGTTTTTTGTTTGCACACATCCTGCCATGCCAAAAGAAAGAATATTGAATGAAACAAATAAATGCTCGAACATCTGGAATTGAACCAAGAACGAATAACTCGTGTCTCAAAACAGAAGAGACTGTAGAATTTATTATATAGACACATATAGAAGGACAATATGTGGCCGTTCAAAACCAAACTACTTTTGCTTTTTTTATTTTTAAAGGCATGCAGTTAAATCGAACCATGTTTCTTTACAGATGTAAGAATTATTTCTGATCAGTACATTCAAATCAATATCTGTCATTGTAAGGTATGCAATGTGATGATGAGCTTTTCATATTCATGGCCTGTTTGTGAAGTAATGTGCCATTTGTATTTCCGTAACTCTGCACTGCTTGAAAATAATCAAGGCATCCTTAACGCAGAAAAGATGCAGAAACAGCTCGTGGACCGAGCTGGTTCCTTTCCTTACTATCGACACTTCAACTTATATTATTGCCAGTTTATGTCAGCTTTGAAAGACATGCTTGTGATCACACATGTATATTCATAAAGAGGACAGAAGTACTGAAATGTTTTGCACAATGAAAAAAAGTCTATGAAGCACTTAATAATGCGGTGGATAAATGCACGGTATGATGGGTAAATTCTTTCTGTGTTTGCTCTCTGTATTCTTGTCTGTCTTATTTGATCAGTCACAGAATCAGCTGTTTCACATCATTCATGTGAGTCATATATTGTATAAAGTTGATTTTTCAGTGACTCTGTGTTACCACTATGATTAGTGCTTTCCTCAAGCAGGATGACAGAAAAAAAAAGGAACGTCTTTGCACTGTGCAAAACTGTCTAATAAAAAAGCCATTTGTTATTTAAGACATTTCTGTTTTCAGCCATACTTTTCTGTAATCACAGAGTATATATCTAGATCACTCCATCTAATTTAGTACACAAAGTTCCTCTTCTAGAGACCAGTTTAAGGGCCCGACCGATATGGCTCTTCTGGGCCGATATTGGGGAGAGAAAAATTCAGTTGCCGATATCGTTCTTAGATCTGTGTCCGATCTGTAGAGATAGATTTAAATACACATTCATTGCGTTGATCCCTCAGATGCAGTTATCAAACACTTGTGGAACGTATTTATAATGAAGATAAGATGGTCACTCAACTGCAGAGTAACTGTATGTACGTGCATCACCGCTCGACACTCTGGAGGGTGATAATGTTTGTTTTAATCCATATAGCGCCCTCTGCTGGTGACAGATAACTGCTAGTGTAATACAATGAAACTCAAACAAAATGAAGTTTGACTGGTGAATAAAACTTGGGATATCAGCGCAAATCACAGATAAAGTTAGGTGATACAATATTCACTGAATATGCTATCGCCTGATTTTATCGACTGGACGATTAATCGGTCAGTCTCTATTAAGGACCGATCGTGTGACCTTGCAGGAACTTTGTCATGTTTGGCAAAACTGCTGAAAATAAATAAAGACAATAATGATGTGGGCCTCTTCCAGGCAAGGCTGGTCTGACAAACATATACAGCTGTTGCATTATGGGAAATGTAGGGTTCTGCTTTGCAGGAAATTGGCCTGCACTCTCTGGACTTTAATCCCCCAGTGTTCAAGAAGAACAACCTCATGAATGTCCACTCTTCTAATGATACCATGTTTGATGTGTTGAAAAACAAAACTCATTTGTTAAAGAGTGAGACAATCTTTGATGATGAATGCTTTAATTTTTTCAATTTGAAATAGTTCAAATCACTATGTTCAGGTATTTGCTCTGTCTCAGCTGAACTGTATCCTTAAACTGATTTAAAGCATGAATTATTAATTCCATTGAAATACTATTATAAATATAAATTCCTATTGAAAATGCTATCTCCACCTTACTTTCTTTAAATCAAGAGGCTCAAGAAGATTCCGAAAGTGGAGTTGAGGGTCGTTTTGAGTCTCCTGGAACGCGCTAACCTGTCAGTGAAATCAGCCACGTCCAAAATAATTCAAATGTAGGAAAAACTCCTCCCATTAATATTTTCAGATGAGTTATTACAAATAAATCACTCGCTGGTCATTAGCTGTTTACACATGATGTATACACTTCTGAAGAGACCTCTCAGTGAAGGGGGGGGGGGGGGTTCTCCTGAGGCAAGACATGAGGTAAAAGTGGCAGACTAAGGAACAGTGATGATGATATAATGGGAACATTTGAAAAGAAAAGCGAGAGGATCGATTTATTTTTAATATTTAAAAAATTAATCGAACTTCAAGGAGACCTGATTGATATCATCATTACTGTGATTGGATACAAAAATTCCTGCTTCATATGCAACATTGAACTATTGTTTATAAAAATGATGAGACATAATGAAGTTGTTCTTTTGAGTTTGAATACAGGTAATGAGTTTGGAGTCTTTTCTTCACTCTCTCTCTCTCTCTCTCCAGCTCACTCAACCCTTGGGAAATATTCCCCTCAAATATGATTGTTGTATGGGGCGCAGTGGTTGGTGCACGCGCCCTGTTTGTGGAGGCTGTAGTCCTTCAGGCAGGCGGCCCAGGTTCAAATCCAGCCTGTGGCTCCTTTCCCACATGTCATTCTCTCTCTAGATGATTTCTGACTCATTGTCCTCTCTCTGCAATAAAGGCACAAAAAGCCCAAAAATAAATCTCTAAAAAATATGATTGTTGTGTCAGTGTTCAGGTAGGAAATAAAGTGGTTTTGGTGGATAATAAAATACAGAAAGAAGAGTGTAGATTACAGACCTTACTCTTTGTTATTCAACACTACAAAAGAGCAGGTAAAAAGACCTTACTGATTTATTTCATGACAGACTTTTGAAAAAAGTGTTTAAGATCAAGTTCAAGTTGAAGATGCATTATTGGATTGAATGGTAACAACCGTTATTGCAAAAGAAAAATGATTTAAACAGTCATCAGTAATATAACAATTAAAACATTTCACAATTAGGCTATATCTTAATATACACATTTTTGAATAAACAGGCCTACATTAAAACAGCAGCCTGAGTGTGCTTCCCTGATGACATCACAGTAGGAGTTAAAAGTCAAACTCTTCATGAATGAAAACATCTCTCGCCGGGTGCGGTGGCGCGCGCCTGTAATCCAAGTTACCTGGAGGCTGAGGCTCGAGGATCGTTTGAGCTCAGGAGCTCTGAGCTGCAGCGGACTATGCCGATCGGGTGTCCGCACTAAGTTCGGTGTCGATATGGTGTTCCTTGGGGAGCCCTGGATCGCCAGGTCGCCTAAGGAGGGGTGAACCGGCCCAGGTCGGAAACGGAGCAGGTCAAATCCCCCGTGCCGCTCAGTAGTGGGATCGCACCTGTGAATAGACGTTGGAGTGCAGCCTGAGCAATACAGCGAGACCCAGTCTTTTGACACTCTGCATACTGACAAACACACACGATCAACAACACTGTGTCTACATGTTACAACAGCTTCAGTGATGCTTCTTGTTGCCATCCAAACCTGCTGTTTGTTTGTCCTGCAGCGCCTCCACCTGGAGGAGAGGAGCAATGACCATCAGTCACAGCAGTCAATCACACAGAACGACATCCTCTAAATGTACAAGGTGTTATATCATTTGATTCCTGAGGTTTACAAATACAAATGTAGTCCCCCTCCATAGAATATATTCCCCTCAAATATGATTGTTGTGTCAGTGTTCAGGGAGGAAATAAAGTGGTTTTGGTGGATAATAAAATACAGAAAGAAGAGTGTAGATTACAGATGGTTACTTTGATTTCAGATTCTGCTTGTGTTCATAGAAACTGAAGGAAAACTGTCAACAAACAATCAACTTTGGAATTGTTAGGATTATTCAATCAAAGTATTTAGGAGCACTTTGATTTCTAAATCAGCCCGTAGGCATCTGTATGACAATCAAGAAATGAGAATGAAGAGGAACCTTAATGTGGATCTTGTAGATCTATTAGAGGAGTGATCTTAAGTTGTGAACATTTATGTGTCACTCAGTATTGGGACTCACAGTGTTCTGCTTGGTCTTTACAGTGGCGATTCCTGAGTACGTTGGGGCCCTAGGCAAAAAATTAAATGGGGCCCCTTAAACCAACATTGATTATTATTTTCCTCTTTCATTTTCCTCCCAAACAGATAATTCCTCTTCATTTTTCTTTGGTAACTTTCACTGTCAAACTTTGGTTTCACAGCAATAATGCATGATACAACTAGCAGGCAATAAAGTAAGTGCCACCAGATGGGGCCCTCTGAGGGAGGTCTTCGACTGTCATTGCCAAATTTGCACATTTTCACTCAATGCTGGGATTTAAGCTTTGTCGGCCCTTGGGAGCCTGCTACTGGCTTGGGGCCCAAAGCAGTTACCTGCCTTGCCTATTGACAAGCAGCGCCTCTGGGTCTTTATCTCAACTCGCCCTGTTTTACTCGGCCTGAACTCCCCAAAGAGTTTTCTCGGCCTCCATACACTCTGGTCTTGAGTAAGGTAGTCTTGACTACAACACTACTATTAAGACAAAACCAGCTACAGTGAGGGTCTGTTTATTTCAATCAATCAATCAATCAATCAATCAATCTTTAATTGTATGGCGCAAATTCATAACCAATGTTATCTCGACACACTTTACAAAAAGGCAGACAGACCTTACTCTTCGTTATTCAACACTACAAAAGAGCAGGTAAAAAGACCTTACTGATTTATTTCATGACAGACCTTTGAAAAAAGTGTTTAAGATCAAGTTCAAATTGAAGATGCATTATTGGATTGAATGGTAACAACCGTTATTGCGAAGGAAAAATTATTTAAACAGTCATCAGTAATATAACAATTAAAACATTTCACAATTAGGCTATATCTTAATATACACATTTTTGAATAAACAGGCCTACATTAAAACAGCAGCCTGAGTGTGCTTCCCTGATGACGTCACAGTAGGAGTTAAAAGTCAAACTCTTCATGAATGAAGACACCTCTCGCCGGGTGCGGTGGCGCGCGCCTGTAATCCAAGTTACCTGGAGGCTGAGGCTCGAGGATCGTTTGAGCTCAGGAGCTCTGAGCTGCAGCAGACTGTGCCGATCGGGTGTCCGCACTAAGTTCGGTATCGATATGGTGTTCCTTGGGGAGCCCGGGACCACCAGGTCGTCTAAGGAGGGGTGAACCGGCCCAGGTCGGAAACGGAGCAGGTCAAATCCCCCGTGCCGCTCAGTAGTGGGATCGCACCTGTGAATAGGCGTTGGAGTGCAGCCTGAGCAATACAGCGAGACCCAGTCTTTTGACACTCTGCATACTGACAAACAAACACACAAGATCAACAACACTGTGTCTACATGTTACAACAGCTTCAGTGATGCTTCTTGTTTCCATCCAAACCTGCTGTTGGTTTGTCCTGCAGCGCCTCCACCTGGAGGAGAGGAGCAATGACCATCAGTCACAGCAGTCAATCACACAGAACACATCCTCTAAATGTACAGGGTGTTAAATCATGATGTAATGACTGAGGTTTATGGAAAGGGAAAAATCCACCAGGAATGACCATCAGACACAAGGATTATTTACTGTCTCTTCTATCTCTGTCTTAGTTCTCTGTCAGTGTCAGCAAAAATAAGAATTATTATTAAATAATACAATGAGACTCATCAGGTTTGTTTACGGGCGAAAGTATAAAAGACCAAGTCAGCAGAAGTTAAACAAATCTCAAATTATAGTGAAATGACTGTTCTTTTAATGGAGTCTGGAGACTTTAAAGAGAGAAACACAAATAATGGCTTTAATTGAAAATAAATAATCTTTCTCTATATCGGTAGGAATCCTTTGTGTGTCCTTTTTTCCATGTTTACTGGACAAACTTTGATCAGACACATTTGTCTGTGAGTATGATG